TCATCTCTAAACTCTCCTTTTCTGTTGTCCTTCTACCACCGGTCTACATCAAAAATGAAACATATGCATTTTGTGGCCATCTGATTCTTGTGTTTTCAGTCCAAGGGACGCGCAGTAAGTGATAATTTGAGCAACAAAAGGCGCTGCCTCGATTCCTATGCTTTGGTCGGGACAACAAAAGCAGAGTTTATGTGTTTCAAGCAGCAGAAACGCATTCCATGGAGCAAAATTCAGCTGAAATTTTTGTACGAGTTGAAATCGCTCAATCACGATAACTTGACGAACTTCATCGGCATCTGTTACAATGACCTGGATCGATTCTACGTACTTCACACACTGATAGAGCGTGCCTCACTTGAAGATTTCATTTTCGACCACGATTTTAACATGGACAACACATTCAAATGCGCTTTCATCAAAGACATTCTTAAGGTTCTTCGCTTCACTCTACTGCCCTGCAAGTTTGCTCCTCCAAGAAGCAACTGAGCCAGATCAGATTGCATTTCCAGCACTCTCTCCCATATAAACTCTTTCAGGGGCTACAATATCTTCATAAGTCCCCGATTGGTTACCACGGAATGCTATCGCTGAAAACATGTCTGATCGATGCTAACTGGGTTCTGAAAATGACACATTTTGGGATATCAACGATGCTTAACGAACTCATCGAGCAAGATTATCTACGTGCTTTGGAGTTGATCCCGCAGCAGTGTATGATAGACTTTTCATTCATTATTCTAAGCCTTTTACACTATCTATGGATACTATATGTCACGGTCTAGAGCACAACTAGTGGGTATCGAAATTGGATCCCCCGCCCATCTCTTCTCCGTTATATGAAATTATAATTATGGTTATCAAATCGTTGATCAAAATTAGTCAACATATCACTAATTTTGTTCTGAAAATTAAAGCACTAAAAATAAAAATGGTGCTTAGCGCCGATATGCCCATGAATAAGCTGCGAAGATGCTGTTGACATAACAGTTAACAGCTACCTCCATCTTGGCAAGGAAGCGTATATTCAGAGATTATATCTAGAAAGTCTGCCTGTTCAATAAGTAACACTGCATCATAATTGTCTACAAAGTGTCAAACCGGAAGGACCGTGTCAGTCTTCACTAACAATGTTAAAAAGCAATGATTTATAAGAAGAAATGTAGTCATCGACAACAGTAAACCAAGGCTGGGACGCACCGGACGGGCCCATGCTGCAATATGTTTTTGCATCGGACTTGAAATACTCAGGTCATTATGTGCATGAATGGTTATTGCTTTAAAATGACCTTTTGCGCTCATTAGCGTAAATCACCATAAATTTTACATAAAGGAAATGCACAGTTTTCATTTAACGATCGTTCTTTAAAAACAGCCCAGCTGCTCAGTGAGAAAATTCCGCCAAAGTGCCCGTACGTAAGAGGTACGCATACCTCAAGGCTAAATTTGAAATACTTAAGTTGTACTTGGACAGGGAACATTCTCCCTAGAGTTTCAGCCTTCCAGCTTTTCTAGTTGCCGAGTTGACAATTTTCCCGCAGGAACTTTCTTATGTCCTTAGTAAGTATTACGCATAGCGTGGGGCTAAATTTGAAACATTTAAGTTGTACTTGGACTCCCAAAATTTCAGCCTTCCAGCTTTTCTGTACACCGGGTTAGCAATTTTCCTGCCAAAAATTTTACATGCTCGTGCGTGGATACCCTAGGTACCTAGAAAGCTGAATTTGAAATTTTTAAATTGCATGTGGGCAGGGAACATCCTCCTAAAATTTCAGCTTTCCAGCTCTCTGGTTGTCGAGTTAATTTTTCCGCCAAATCTTTTACGTACTAGTAAGCAAGGACCACGCATATCTAGGGCTAGATTTGAAATATTTAAGTTATACTTGGACAGGGGAAATTCCCCTAAAATTTCAGATTTCTAGCATTTCTGGTTCCAGAGTTAGCAATTTTCCCTCCAAAAATCTCATACGCCCTTACGTGAGTACCTCGCATAACTAGGGGCTGAATTTGAAATCTTTAGCTAGTACATATACAGGGAATATCCCTAAAAAGTTTCAGCCCCTTAGCTCATGTGGTTCCGAGATCGCTTTCCCGCCAAAAAATTTGCATATCTTTTTAAAGCATCCATACGCGGCACCCAGGCGTCCGCAGGAGATGATACCAAAACGGGAGGGTAGCGCACGATGTGGGCACAAAGCCCCAAACTTTCAGTCTTCTAGCTTTGCTGGTTCTCGAGTTGAAAGTGGGTGACAAAAAGTGCGAACACACACAGAACCTTTTCCCAATATGCGTTTTTGCAATACGCATATATGCAAAAACGCATAAAAAGCAAGTGTTGGTTGCGACAAACGCAGGACAGGACGCACCAGGATTGCCGGTGCGATCATGCGTTTTTGTACTTAACTTACGGGTCGCTAATAGCAGGAATAATCCCTGCGCTGTAGCTAAGCACTTGGGCTCACATTGGCGATGTCCTAGTTTTATCAACGTGCAGCAGAATAGGCATCGGTTGGGATGAGAATGTTGCGTTGTACAGCTACATGGACCTGCAGGTACATGATTACCAATTTTTTGCATGAAGCTTGGCCGTTTTTTCGGTAAATGCTAGCTTTTTGAAAAAATGACCCAGGCTGGAACGCACCGGGCGGGCCCAGTGCGTTCATGCGTTTTTGCACAAGACTTGAAGTACTCAGGTCATTAACTGCATGAATGGTTGTTGCTTTACATCTACTTTTTGCGATCACTTGCATAAATCACCATAGATTTTGCATAAAGTAGACGTACAATTTCCATTTAGCGGTCGTCCTCTAAAAGTAACCTAGCTGTTCAGCCAGATATTCAGTCAAAATTTTAAGTGCCCGTACTTAAGAACCACGCTTACTTAAGCGGTACTTGGAGAGGGAACATCCCCCCTAAAGCCTCAAACTTCTGCCTTTTTTAGTTGCCGAGTTAGTAATTTTTCCGCAGAAACTTTCTAATTTTTCCGCAGAAACTTTCTTAAATCCACGCATAGCTTGGGGCTGAATTTGAAATATTTGAGTTGTACTTGGACAGGGAATATTCTCCCAAAAAAATTTCAGCCTTCCAGCTTTTCTGGACACAGAGTTAGCAATTTACCCCCTAGAACTTTCAAACCCCCTTGCC